TAAACCGGTGCAAAGGTCACATTTTCCATATCGGTCCTTAACATAGCTGAGTTGTGATTTTCCTTCCATATTTTGATAGAGGATATGCAACATTCGTGATTTTGAGCGGATAAGGAGTACTCGTGACTTTCGTGCCATTTTTGTATTATAACAAAGATGACATAGAAGAAGTCTCAACAGATTTTATTTTAGAAGGTAATCTATTAATCTTTTACTTGTATATTTTAGTGTGCCTTTTATATGTTTTAATTATGCTAGTGCTAAGTAGATGGGAAAGCATGTGTATATTAATCTCTTTATTTAAATATGCACGAATTCCACACCTGTCTACTTTACAGGATTTTACATCTTACACTAATTAAAACAAATCCTTTTCAAGATCTTTTAAATTTGATGATAATTTTTATGCAAAAAGCATTTTTTCCTATCAAATTTTATCACAAAATTTACTTATTTGAATATCAGTGATTTCAACTCCCTGCTGTAAGATGTGAATCTGCATGACCTGTCTGCATTGTACAATAGATGGGCTAGTTGTAGAATGTAGATCCTCCTCGTGGTAGCACTGGTAACGGCCATTGATTGTGTAGCCCAAATCTTGCTTGTAGAAAACATAATGCTTAATCCTCACTGCTTCAAAGACTGCACTACATATCAGAGAGTGTCTGCATTTTCATTCATATATCACTCATAATTCACTCATTAATCATTATTACCATTTGATCACTCATTTATAAACACATGTATTTACAACAATGGGTCTGGCTGAAAGGTCATGATTTTTATTAATATCATGCTTTATTTCCAGTCCTCTTACATGTACCAAAATAAGAAGCTGCTTTATTATTGTGCATGTATTTTTATTTCTTTTTTTTTTTATCGTTTAATATAAAATGGCTATTATAGTCATATTCTTTTAACACTGTGTGATAAAATTGCATCAACACATGTACACCTTCAAAATTGTTCTAAACCTATTAATATACTGTAGAAGTACTTTTTTCCGCGTGGTATTAATTTACGCTATGCATGTGGACACAAATAATCCGCGGAAATTTGTTGAAGGGTACTTAATAAAAATGTAAGGTATATAGTGACAGTCTAGAAAATGCGTGTATTTTCTACCCGCAGATTAAACGGAGATTGAGGTTCCGCGGAATTATGACCCCGTGGAAAAAAGTACGTCTACAATAAATTAACTCAGTTTGAATTCTAATCTCTATTGAATACAAAGTATTTAGAACTTTAAACATGTGCACTAATAATACATTTAATATTTCAGGAATGTAACTGGCCTTGTACAACTGTCTATACCATATTTTTTTTAATTTCAGAAATTGTTTTCAACTGACAATTGTCACCATCATTATCATGTAGATGCCAGTTGTGTACTAGTATTTTTTTTATTAGATGTATAAGTTTTTCTTTTCTATTACAGCTTCAATCCTTTCGTATAAGACCACACCAATTTGTAATAAAGTTCGTCAATACATTACTGTTTCTAACAAATTAATATTTAATATCATCGAACAGATATTTCCGCCAGCATGTCCAATGGTACAATAGAAAGTGAAGGTTTCAGATAATGCAATTTCAGCTGCAATATATGACTCTGTTTATGTTTTTAGAATAGGTTAAAATTTTTCGTGCAGATTAAAGTTTTTGTTGCAGGTCTCATTTCCAAGTAACTAGCCCTATGCTAACCAAACTTGCATGGATGATACATCTAAGGATGAATACTACCAGGTTTGCTTTAGGTGCAGATTAAATTTTTGTTGTACTGAAGCTGTAGGTCTCATTCTAAAATAACTGTAAGTCCTATGTTGACCAAACTTGCATGGATGATACATATTATGATGCACAATACTGGACTTGCTTCGGATGCTGGATCTGACCTACATTTTCAGAACTAGAGTATTAATTTAGTGTGGATCTTTGTCTCAGTTAAAGACACCATTTCGCTGAGATGAGCTACATAATACATGTATTTCATTACCTATGTTTTCCTTTATTTTGAAAGAAATCATGGCATCTCTAGGAAAGAAAATGAAAACTGACTGTCGAATCTTGATTACTGAAACAATCACAGAAATTGAAACAGAAATCAAAGCTGCCGTGTATGACATCACTAAAGGTGCTAAAGATCAGGCTATTACAACACTAGAACGAGTTCGGCGTAAACTGAAAGTTCTTGAAGAGAAGACAAAATTAAACTTGAAATCATTGGATTTGGAAACAGCCAAAACAAAAGACCAAATGCATTCCTTGTCTTTAAAAGAGAAAAATTTATTAAAGGAAAATTTAGAGCTCAAAAAGAAAGTCAAAGATTTAGACATGTTAGAGGAGAAGATAAAAGCTGATGAATTTGATTCCTTTTTACTAAGTCAAAAGGAAAACCTCGAATTTAATAGCCAAGGAGACCACGATGTTGGAAGCCAGAATCAAGACACTGAACTACCAGGATGCAGTAGCCAACATTAAACATTAACAGCACACTTTGGCACGAGAACTCATTTAATTAATTATTGTCAGAGACATATTTCTTTCATTTCTTTAATTTTCATATACAGTAGTACTGTTACACATGATTTTTTCAATACATGTATATGTTAAAGATATGTATGCCGTGTTAAACAGTATTTTTGCACAGCTGAAACCGAACAAAAATTTGTGGAGTATGATAAGCTACCAAAAATGAAGCATTCTTGCAAATTCGACGAAATTTTATTCGGTATTAACAAAGTACTAGTCAGGAAAAGAACACGATATTCTCATGCATATTTATAAAGGACTGACGTTAATCCTGGATCTGCGCATGTGCGCGGGAAAAGCATCGCGAGAATCATCAGGTCGAGGAAAATGATTTTTGTGACGTCTGCTCAGTGATGGACACAAATAGACCAATCAGCTCAATGAGTTGCATTTAATGCATTTATGGGTTACTACATAAAATACTACATGTGTTTTTCAAAAAGGCTAGTTTTTTAAATCGCTCTCAGAAAGACTTGATGCATTATGTACATTATTATCTACTAATTTCATGCTCATATTTGCATACAAATGATTAACAATGATGAAAATTAAAGTTTTCCCCACTCCATTGTACAGGTCCGTTTGTTTAGAGTTTCCCCGTGCTGTACTGCTAGTGGACATTTTCGGTTGGGTGAACATTTACGGATCTTCAGTATGGAGCGCATTGTGCGCAAAAGATATTTTATGTCAAATACAATGTATGGAAAGTAATTTAAACTGCTATGTTTACACCCTGAATGCAATATCGTCAATTATCCCTTTTGTTTTTTAGTATGAACTACATAACATATGTAGATGAAACTTACATACCATACATCTTGCCTTCCTAGAAATATAGTTGGGCTAATAAAATAAAATTGGTCAAAGAATTCCAGGCCTCTAAAAACTATTCCATTTTGAGGGCACAACCAAGCATTTCGATGAACACCATTAAGAAAAATTAATTTAGGTAGGTAGCATCGCTTTTTTTTTTAAAGTGGGTGGGGGGATAGAACAGTCAGAATAAAAATCAACTAGTTCGAAGAAATCTGACAAGTAAAATAGGTTCCAATATCTTTCACAACTAAATTTTATTCATTCACTACAATTTACTGCCAAACTCCAAATTTCACTTTCGAATTAGCCCAAGCCAATGCTGATAACCTACTTGCAAGATTTTTTATATTATTTTCAAGGGGTCAGAAATACTGTGGTTCATATGTAAAGAATATAATTATACTATTTAGTAGTATTCTGGTCTTGGCATTCGGTATATTGTGCAGATTTATACATGATATTCTGTGGAATACTTTTTGTTGTTTTGAACCATTAAGAAATGCAGAATCGAATGTATCTAATAACCATTTTGATTGATCAAATTATATCACTTGTTTGTATTGGTTATTTCATTTTGGCACAACATGGTTTCCACACTTCTTTATCCATAGTCGCTGACAGCTGTAGAAGTTCACCCAACCGAAAATGTCCATTGAAAAGACAATTGCACGTGATTATTCCTTGGTACAAAAAGCAACCAACTCTGAGGTGCTCTCAATATTGACAATCCCTAACTCACGTGTTTGTAGTAAAAACGTAGTAGACCATCATCCTTTTCGGTTCATTCACGAGATTGGACCATTGTTTGCTGTAAACATGCGAGACAACGTGATCATGAATATTTCAATAAGAGGCGGTTTTTTATCCGACACGGAGAGAAAATAAATTTTACCAAATAATATTTCATAACTTTTAAAAGTGATGGAGTGGAATTGTCTTATTTGCAGAAAGTATATAACTTATATAACTTGATGAGACACCACATATATTTACTACTTTTAAAATAAAACACTAATACGGCATATATAGCTTTAAGCAAGAGGAAATAAGAAACTTTGTTTTTCAGAAGCTAATTATATACATTTTTTTATGACTTGTAGAGGAGTTCTCTTCTTTTTCATTTTTTGAACACATTTCATTGTGAATTACCATTTATTGCCTATAGCTTTACTTTTCTGTTACAGGATTTTGTCTTGATAGACTTTGGCATACTACTTTATTACCCGCTGGATGTACTTTGATATTTTAAATATGTGAAAATTTTAGTAACACATATGTAGATGTAAATTTTCTAAAGAGAAAGTGAATTCAGCAGATTTTTAATATTGTAATAAAGTGAAGTTTTACATTTTAAATAAAAAATTCAGATTCTAATTGATCAACTGAAAGTTGGATAGGAAAAGAAGAAACACAGAGAGGGAAAGAAAAAAATTGGAAAGGAAAAGAAAACAACATGTAAGAAGCATTAAATTAGAATTGAAGTGAAATGTAAGACACTTTTTATCTCAAGTTTCAAGACATCTTGAATTTAAACATTTTTAGGGGGAAGAATCAAAAATCCCGACACAATTGCAATACAATGATGATGAAGATACAACAGTCCAGACAGAAAATCCAGGAAACCAAAATGTTGAACTACAACCAACAACACAATGGAAAAACAGTAAATATGTTCTTAATTGTCATTTATCTCACTTTTATGAATTTGTTTTTATTTCTCCTTTTCATCTTCATTCTTCCTTTAACAGAATTCAGCCCTACCATCCAATAATAATAAAGACACAACATCACAGTCAAATCCAGAAAACCAAAGACTTGAACTGCAATCGACACTACAAGAGTATGATGAAAAAACAATAAATATGTTTTCGATTGTGAAGTTTCCTCACTTTATAAATTTGTTTCTTTCTTTTTACTACCTAGATTTTCCCTTACAGAATGCATCTCATCCTTCCTGGATAAGAAATTACCTTCAATTCTAAGCTCAGCAGCAAAAAAATTAACAACAAAATAAAAGTCCTGCCGAAGTCATAAAGAAAAGAAAAACTCACAATTCAGATGCTACCATTTTAAAAATAAAAACAGATAAGGAAAGAAAGAGACGATCAAGAAGAATAAGAAGTCAAGGAGTCATTGAGTTCGAAAGGGCAAAGGATAGAGAAAGAAAAGGAGAATCAAGGAAAAGAAGAAGTGAAACCATTACACAAGATAGAGAACAAAATAAACAGCTAAAAAAGAGACGCAGAGATGCAAGACACATTGAAAGTGTGGAAAACGAGAAAATAAAAGACAAAGAAAGAAAGAAAACTGCAAGAGCTAGACATGGTGAAGAATCCATTATATCTAATCAACAAAAGATAGGAAAAGAAAGAAGATTGCAATAGCAGGAAGAGATAAAGAATCCATTATATCAAATAAGGAAAGAAAGAAAACTGCAAAAGCAAGAAGAGATAGGGAAACGTTTTCATCTGACCAGAAAAAAGATAAAGAAAGAAAGGAAATTGCAAGAACTGGAAGAGATGAAGAATCCATTATACCTGATCAAAAAAAAAAAGATAAAGAAAGAAAGAAAACTGCAAGAGCAGGAAGAGATGAAGAATCCATTATACCTGATCAAAAAAGAGATAAAGAAAGAAAGAAAACCATAAGAGCAGGAAGAGATGAAGAATCCATTATATCTGACCAAATAAAAGATAAAGAAAGAAAGAAAACTGCAAGAGAAACAAGAGGTGTGAAAACAGTTTCAACTGATAAAAGGCAAGATAAGGAAAGAAAAAGACTTTGCAGAAAGCAGAGAAAACCTGAGGACATTATACAAAATAGAGCTGCAGAAACAATCAGAAGACAACCAAAAAAAAAAAAAAAGAAATATTCTGAAATGGATGCATTTCTCTAATCAAAAAAGGAATTTCCAGCATATATTTGTACATGCTGCAACCGCACTTGGTTTAAAAGCACTGTTATTCAAGCTAAACAAAAAAATTTCAAGAACACAAATTCTGAAATCATAGCACAAGCATTCACTGGATGTAAATCATTTGATGGTGAAGAATACATCTGTAAATCATGCAGCTCTGTTTTAAAATCAAACAAACTTCCACCACTTGCAATTGCACATGGCTTCCAATTAGATGTCATACCAGAAGAACTAACAAATCTTTGTGAATTGGAGAGTATACTTATCTCGCAACGCATTCTCTTCTACAAATTACTTAACCTACCGCGTGGAGGCCAAAAAGGATTCAAATGAAATTTAGTGAATGTACCAATCAATTTAAAGAAAGTAACATCTGTTTTGCCAAGGACACCCTCACAAGGGGGAATAATTCCTCTTGAACTAAAAAGAAGAATTAATTACAAGGGACATCACATTCACAAGAATATACGTCCATACTCTGTATACCAGGGTCTATCATGGCTAAGAAGAAATAACGCTCTATACAAAAATGTTCAAATAAATGAAAACTTGGAAACAAACTGTCAAGAGGAAGATGAAGATTTATGGCATAGCTTACAAATCGAAGAGAATGTTGAGGAAAACAAGACAATAGATTTAGACAATATTGATATCACTGAAGAAGAAAGTAATAACTAAAATGATGATTCTGTAGAAACTCAAGTCCAGGGGCTTCAGTTTGATATGTGTCTACATCCATCCAATATTGTTCATACTGGTGTGGAGTCTTACAGTATGGCCCCTGGAGAAGGAGAAATTCCCGGCAATGTTTTTGCGGATGAAATTTGTGAAGTACTAGCTTTTTCTGTTTGTTTTCCACATGGAAAATGAACATTTTCAGACATAAAAGAATTATCCAAGAAATCAAACTGTAAAATATCAATAAAGAAATATTTTACTCAAAGGCTTACCAATGTTGACACAAGATTTGCAACAAACATGTCTTACTTATTCTATGCCTTGTATGCCACTGAGAAAAAGCAAGTAGATGATGCTATTTCAATTGCTATGAGAAAGGCACGCAGACAGGACATACATGTAACAGCTGGTCAATTAAAAGATCCCAACAATGTTAGAGACATTTTAGTTAAATATCAGGCTTTTCAATTTTTACAACAGATTCGAGGTTCTCAATCCTATTGGCAACGTGCGCACAATTTGAACTTTTGGCATTGGTTAGAGCCAAAGGACCTTTGACATGGTTTCTTACTCTGACACAAGATGGCCTGAGACAGTTCAAGCTATTGCAGCTCAAAGAGGAAGAGTTTTGTTTGATAATGAGGTTAAAGCCATGTCATCTGATGAAGTTCATACCTGGTTACGTGAAAATCCCATCACAGCTGCCAGACAATTTGATCACAGACTTCAGGCATTATTTCAGCATGTGATCTTAAGCAAAAGTTCTCCTTTAGGAAAGGTTACTTGCTATTTTCAACGTACAGAATTTCAATTGAGAGGATCACCACATGCTCATATTGCATTATGGGTAGAAAATGCACCACAATTAGACACAGCTACAGAAGATGAAATTACATCATTTATAGACAAGTATGTTACTTGTGCTTTACCTCCCGAAGATCATCCATTGTACGAACATGTCAATGAAAAACAGAGACACAGTCATTCTGTTGCCTGTAAGAAACACAGTAAACTGTAACAACTGCAGATTCCAATATCCTAAGCCGCCTAGTGAAAAAAAACAATATTAAGTTCACCAACTGCTGCAACAGACGTAACACAGAACTGAAGCAAAATAATTTTGTCAACAGTTCTAAATTATTTAACAACTGCTGATGATCTTGACAATCTCAGTGTCAAAGACCTACTTCAGAAGTGTAGGTTGCCATCAGACATATACCACAAAGCCTTGGCTGTATCCAAATCCAGAACTGTTGTTTTGAAAAGAACACCAGCAGAAAGGAATATCAACAACTACAATCCAGATATATTAAAATACTGGGAAGCCAATAAGGATCTCCAGTATGTATGTGATCATACTCCTGTGTTGCCTACATTGTGGCATACGTCACAAAAGATGAGAAAGAGATGTCACAAATGCTCAAAAATGCAGCCTCTGAGAAGTTCCGACGTTAAATCATGGCTAAAACATATAGGACATTTTTCTTGACAAATAGAGAAATAAGTGTGTAATATCAAAATTATCTGGATACCAACTGACTTCAAAGAAAACAGAATAAGTATTCTCAAGTCAAAAAATATATTAGAAACCCTGGAGGATGAATCCACAGACATATATTGCAGAAGCATTGTTGATAATTATGCAATAAGGCCATACACCACTCACTTTACCAACGTGTGTCTATCAAAGTTTGCATCCCTGTATGAACAAAGTTCCTCTTCATCTAAATCAGATCATGAAAACGATGTTTTAGATGAACCACCAATTCAAAACCAAAGTTATCATGATCATCTTCCTAAAACCATTGTACTACATGACACAGATATTGTAATGAAGAAAAGAAACACACCAGCTGTTCAAAGATATCATGTGGTATCTGAAAACAAAGATTTCGAAAAATTTTATTATCAGCAGCTCTTGCTTTTCATTCCATGGAGAAAAGAAGAAGATCTACTTCAAGGTCACGCATTGTATGAGGAATCTTACCAAGACATGAAACCATTATTCTGCAAAACAAAAGTATAATAGAAAAGCATTCAGACATTGTAACTCGTTCAATGGAACAGTATAGAGAAGGTGGAATGCCTCAAAATGCATGGGACCTTCTTAATCCTGAGGGATCCTGTGTCAAGCAGAGGATGCAAGAAACCGTGATTTAAATGAAAATGAAGATACTGAAGATCACCACAGAGTTCAAGTACACTCAAGTACCTCAATTTTACCACAATCAGACCTCAGGAATAATCAGATGACCAAATTCAAGAAATTGTGTGTAGTCTTAACAGTGAACAAAAGGGAATCTTTATTCATATCACTGATTGGTGCACTCGTTTGAGAATGGGAATGTCCCCTGACCCTTTCTATATTTTCCTGTCTGGAGGTGCTGGTACTGGGAAAAGCAGACTTATAAAAGCTTTGTACCATCAAACTTTTCGTATCCTGCTGACACCAGGACAAGACCCAGAACATCCTTCTATTCAACTCACACCTCCGACAGGATGTGCAGCTTTCAACATTGGAGGTGCAACATTGCATTCAGCATTAAAACTTCCACTCAAAGGCTTTTATAGATTAAGAGGAAATCCTTCATTACTTACAACATACCAATGCAAATATGAAAATTCTCATAATTGATGAGGTCTCATTGCTACGAAGAAAGACTTTTGCATATCTGCACAAGCGCCTACAAGAAATAAAAAAATGTTGACAATACTGATAGTACGAGGGTTGATCCATAAGTAATAAGTAATGTCACTGTGTCCATGTCTTTGGTTTTTGGTGGTTTTTGGTGTCAAAGTTTCGCTTATCGCTCTTATCGTCACAGGCCTGTCTTCTTTCACAACGTCAGAAACAAGTTGAACATTTCCATCCGATCGTCCACCCTTCGGTCTTCCTGTCCTCTGTTGATCATTTAATGATCCATCTCCCTCCCGAAAACGTTGGAACCACCGATAAACAAGTCTCCTATTGACCTTCTATTCACTATAAGTCTCATTCATCAAAGAAACGGTCTCTAATGGCGAATTCCCCGTTTTGTAACAAAAATGCATAACAGCTTGTTGCGGCGTTTTTTCCATTTCTGGTATTTCTTTCGTTCAAATCATCGGAATGAAACACAGTGTTTATCATCGAAAATGGCAATGACGTCATTTAATTTCTAACTGAAGACTGGAAAATGACGTAAATTTTTACTATCGAAAAAACGGGCAATTTGACGCGTTTTTAAAATTTTTTATAATGTGTTTATCTTTTTATTCCTAAGAAAATAAAGTTCAAAATTAGACGTAACGTTATGACGCGGCGACACCCCCTATGTCTCACGTTTTAAACATCTATAAAAATAGTTTTATTTAGCATTATTATACCCCCCGCAAACGAAGTTTGGGGGGGTATATAAGGAATGACCTTGTCCGTCTGTCTGTCTGTCCAATATTTTTAAAAGTCTGTCTAGCTGTCCGTCTGTCTGTGCAAACGTGTCTGGTCCATATCTTTCTTACGGAGGGACATTAGAATCTACTACTCCACACAAAGATTGCCCATGACCTAAGGGTGTGTCATGACCTTGACCCAAGGTCATTTGAGGAAGTTCAAGGTCACTGGAAGAAAAAGTTCATAATTTGTGTCTGGTCCACATCTTTCTAATGGATAAACTTGGTAGGTTCTCATTTCACACAAAGATTGCCCATGACCCAAGGGTGTGTTATGACCTTGACCCAAGGTCATTTGGAGAAGTTCAAGGTCACTGGTAGAAAAATTTCATAATTTGTGTCTGGTCCACATCTTTTTTATGGATAAACTTGGTAGGTTCACATTTCACTCAAAGATTGCCCATGTCCCTAGGGTGTGTCATGACCTTGATCCAAGGTAATTTGGGGAAGTTCAAGGTCACTGGAAGTAAAATTTCATAATTCGTGTTTGATACATATCTTTATTATGGAAAAACTTACTTCTTAAAAACCCAGCGGGGGTATTTTGTCCCGTTTGGACAGTTCTAGTGTTGCTTTACGCTGATTATTTTTAATTTTATCGCAGTTGTGACATGACTTTTGGATCAACCCTCGTATATTTGGAGGAGTTAGTATATTGGCAGTAGGAGATATGTTCCAGTTTCCACCAGTGAAAGAATATAAGCTCTTTGACGAAGTTCCTAGTGCAGATCCTGAGGAAATGAGCATTGTTTTATCGGGATTGTGGACAGACAATTTCAAACTTCATGAGCTACACACAATTATGCGACAAAGAGATGATATCCCACTTGCCACAATGCTAAACAATATAAGGACAGGAGAACATTCTAAAACAGAAACTGAAACTCTCAAATCCAGAATCAATCATGGAGAAAATTAACCAGAGCACGTGTTCAAAATCACAACGAAATGATGTTAAACTCCTTAGACCCGAGTACTCATAAAGTTATTCAAGCTATAACAAAGATCCCATCAACAGTAACATCATTTGATGTTGATTCATCAGTCAGTGATATCCCAAATATACTAAGGATCGCGCCACAAGCAAGAGTTATGCTTGTGAGGAATATTGATGTTGCAGATGGACTCGTCAATGGGTCTACAGGAATAGTTCTTGACATAATTTATGAGAAAAATGTCTTCCCTCCTCTTCCAAAATACATTGTTGTCAAATTTGATGATTCTTTCTGTGGAGCTATGACACGTCAAGCTTCAAACATACCACTTTCAAAATATCCAAATGGAAGTCCTATCTTGCCAATAGAAGTAAAACAGCATGTGGGCAGAAAAGAATCATCACCAGAAATAACCAGAATTCAAATTCCCCTGGTTTTGTGCTTTGCTTGTACCATACATAAAGTTCAGGGGAGTACACTGCAAAATGTTGTTTTATCTACAGACAATATACGAACACCAGGAATGATTTATGTAGCCCTCTGCAGAGTTACTAATTTAGAGGGCCTATATTTATTGGATTTTTATGAAAACTCCATAAAGGTTTCCCAGGCAACAAAAGATGAGATGAATCGTCTTCAAACAGATATGAAATTAGAAACTGTAAAGAATTTGTTACAAGAACAAAATCCAAACCATTTGCGTATCTTGTGGCTCAACACTCGATCACTACAGCATAAGGATACCTATCTAAACAATGATCCATATATTAGACTAGCAAATATTTTAGCCTTCACTGAAACATGGAAAAAAAAAACACAAGACAGATT